AGAAGCAGACCAGAGACAAAGACTCGAGGGCAAATCATTTATTTGGGGTGGGGGGTGGCGATGGAAGGACTTGTTGGGACAGGGAAGGAGGCAGGGAGGCCAGGAGTCGGCACAGCACAAGGGCTGGCAGGGGTCCCCCAACAGTGACCACGGTGAGCCCACACTGGAGAGAAGGCGCCGGTGTCCTGCCAGGGGTACCCCGGGGTCGGCGGCTGGTTGGGGCTCTCCCCGGGGCACTTGGACCCGCCCTGAGCACAGGACAGCTCAGGTGAAGCCCCGCTGAGACGCCAGCAGGGGGTCAGGCCAGAGGTCAGGGAGAGCCCACATGCAGCCGCAGTGGCAGCCCCGACCCCCACCTGCCCCCTCTCTCCATCCAGCACCCAGGACTCTTGCCCCAGGTGCCCCAGAAAGCCCTCCACTTCCTTATCCTGGGCAGGAGCACCTTCAGGTCCCACGTACTCAACCTCACGCTCCGTCGTGTCTGACGGTCTGTGACCCCATGGACTGTGTAGACCACCAGGCCCCTCTGTCCATGGGATTCTCCAGACCAGAATCCTGGAGTGAGTTGCCATTTCCTCCTCCAGGGGATCTTCCTGACCCAGGGATGGAATCCAAGTCTCCTTGCATTGCAGGCAGATTCTTTACCTGCTGACCCATCAGGGAAGCCTTCAGGGCCTGGCTAGGACCTTAACCCCAGGAGCTCTAAGAAGCATTGCTTCAGTTTTCCAGGCCCTATGGTACAAGAAGGCAAGGTGGGAGGGCAGTGGTGAGGGGAAGGGTGCGCTTTAGGGTCTGCTGCCCCACCTCGGGGCCTTCACAGATGCCCTTTGCTCTACCGGAATGCTTTTGCCAATCTGCATGCATCTGGTTAACTCCTTGTCTTTCAGGCCCCGCTTGGTTATCACATCCTCGGAGAGGCTGTCATGACGATCTCTCTGTCTCCTTGTACCTCTCTCTGGTCACCATCTGCAGCATCATCCTGTCTTAATTTTCTCCAAAGCGGCCACCCCCTCATTCCCTGGAACAATCTCGTTTGTTTACATGTTTATGCTCTCTGTGCTTCCTTCCCTCTCTTGTTCATCACTGCACCCTCCGTGCCTATAACCATGCTGGGGACACAGTAGGGCCCCAGTAATACTTGGGAGCGCATTGCGAATGGCCCTGCCCCTCAGGCGGTCGGGGCTTTCTCACCATAATGCACGTGAAGAGCCTAGCGTGGCACCTGGCACATAGTAGGTGCTCAACGACAGGTCAACTCAGAAAAGGGTGATACCGGTATCATTTTCGTGTCCAGTCCCTCCATTTTCTGGGTAAGGTGACTGCGGCCCAGAGAGGGGCAAGACCACTCAGAAGGTCACACACCCATGCTCTGGTCTAAAGAACCCAACTCTCCTCCGCCACAGCCCCTTCCGCTTCTGCTTTTGCCAGCTGCAGCTCGGGCCCTGGGAGAGTCAGTCTGGCGGCTCTGAAATAATAGAAGGGAAAGTTACAGCTCTCCTATTCCTCAAGAAAAATTAATTCCACCGCCAGGCATTTGTCCCCGAAGCTTCGGAAGCTGGGGATCAAATCATGGCCCTGTCTTTGTAGCTGTCGCACTTCAATGTTTCAAAGGCGGATTCCCAGGTAAAATATTGCGGTCCCAGTGGCCCTGCACACAGCAGCGTTCGGAGTAATCTCGCCCGGCACAATACAAATGGGATACAATGTCGCCCATAAGGGTTTTAAATGAGAAAGTTAGAAAAACAAAATGCAGAGGTAGGAAGCGGTTCTGATTACAGGGAGCTCAAAGTAATTGCCTTCCCGCAGAAGCCAAGACGACTCTGCCACCAAGGGGAGGGGGGTGGCAGGGAGGAGGGGCTGCCTCCCCACCCCCCATCCATCATCCCATCACAGGGACTTTGAATATTAAGTAAAGTTTTATTTATGATTCTTCTTGCAGGCTTATGACTCTCCAGCGAGACAGGGATAATAACAAACCGTCTCACACAAAAGTTAGGCTATAAAAAAATAATTAAGGAAAATTTTCCCCGCAGTCCATGCGGCTGGGAAGCTGAGTCCTTCTGCAAACATACTCGCGTGGCCTTCGTAATGAAAGCAAATTGCTTCTGGGCTGGAAGCGGCGGGCACAGCGGGCAATGGAGAGCCAGGCTGGTTCTCTGGTTCCAGCCGCCCCCGTGGAGACAAGGCCTCGGGGGGGCGGGGGGGGGAGGTAGCGGGCAGGACCCCACCCCCACCCCTGAGAAGAGGCCCACCTCTGGGTCCCGCCCACCTCCGCCCCTCAATGAGCCAACCGGAAAATGCCAGGAAGCCAGGAGATTGATTTCTTCTTTGCAGAAAGTGAAAGATGTACTTGTAACAGATGGCCATAGAATCGCAGGCTGTTTGTTGGCAAATGTCAGCCTGTTCAATCGGCCCCAAATTACTGGGTGAGAAATCTGAGCTGGGGGTGGGTAAGAGTGATCAGGTGGGGACCAAGTGGCCCAAGAGTGAGCTCAGGATGACAGCTGCTGGGGGGAGTCCGGGGGCGGGCAGACAGATTTGGGCCCAGAACCAAACTCTGGGGCTGCAGGACAGCCAAGGTGGCCTGGCAGAGTTTCACCCCCATCTCCGAAAGAGAATGGCATCCCTGATACCAGGTGGGTGGCCGCTCCCACTGCAGTAACCACTGCTGCCACTTCTAGAGCCCCTACTTGCCCGGGTCATCCTCACAGGGACCCTGTGTCTGCATGGGGACCCTCTGCAGTACCCCAGTGCTTCGGATAAAGAAGCAGAAGCCAAGGGGTAGCTCAGAAAAAGTGCCGAGGAGCAGAGAACTCTGCAGATAGAGACGGCGGCTTATGGCGGCAGCCAAGGGCCATCTCTCCAGATTTCTCAGCCTTGGAAGCTGGTTGCTAAACAGAAACACTGAATTTCCCCTTAGCTCGTCCCTTTCCTTGTCTCCCGACATCAGCCAGGGTCTCTGTGTGGATCTTCACACACCTACGCATTTCTAAATCTTTATTTAATACATAGTATTAAACATCTACTTCTCGGTATTGGCCACACGAATGAAAGCAATGAATATTGACCAACGGACAGCTCTGTACTTGGCCAAGGGGACCAAGACAGACACAGTTCACTATGAAAAATGGTACTGAAAGTAGCGTGTGGAACAGCGTGATAGGCGGAGGAGTATGCAAAGATATGCAAAGTATATGCAAAGATCCTGAGGCCAGAAGGAGTACTTTCTCCCAGTTGTTCCTCTTTGTGTATCAGCCAGCATTCAACATTCTACTTTTGTGAGAGTATATAGTGCGTGCGTGCGTACATGCATGTGTGTGTGTGTGTGTGTGTGTGTGTGTTTGGGGGTTTGCATATTCACGTATTCAACTGATACTTCCTAAGCCCCACTCTATATCAGGCACTGCACTAGGCAGGAGAAGGCAGCAATGAATACGTGGAAGTGTTTCCAGCCAGTCCTCCTGAATATTAGCCCTTATTAGGGTTAGAAAAGGCTTCCCTCGTAGCTCAGTCGGTAAAGAATCTGCCTGCAATGCAGGAGTAAAGTGAAGTGAAAGTCACTCAGTCACGTCCAACTCTTTGTGACCCCATGGACTATACAGTCGATGGAACTCTCCAGGACAGAATACTGGAGTGGGTAGCCTTTCCCTTCTCCAGGGGATCTTCCCAACCCAGGGATCGAACCCAGGTCTCCCACATTGCACTTGGATTCTTTACCACTGAGCCACAAGGGAAGCCCGCGATGCAGGAGACCCAGGTTCAATTCCTGGGTCAGGAAGATCCCCTAGAGAAAGAAATGGCAACCCACTCCAGTATTCTTGCCTGGAGGATCCCATGGACAGAGGAGCCTGGCAGGGGGTCGCAACAGTCAGACACGACTTAGCGACTAAACTACCACCACCAGACCTAGAAACCCTCAATTGTCCTCCACAAAAGAGGCTGCATTTCCAAAGATCCAGGGCTGTAGGCCTGCCTTCCTCTGTACCCTAATGCACAGTTTCCTGTTTCCGAAAGCCCTTTTCCACCTTGCGTGACCATCAGAGTCCTCTTCACCTGTCAGGAACCAACTCCAATGTCACCTCCTCCAGGAAGCCTTCTGTCAGTTACCTGGCCTAAGTACTTGCTCTTCCTCTGTCTGTTCCATCTGGGTAAGATGTCTTATGGCTTCCTCCCCCAGGACTATAGGGTGAACCTGAGTTCATCAGGCAGAAAAAGAGGAATAGAGGGCTGTAGCAGGAACATAGCTTGTGCCAAGGCAAGCACGTGGCCTTACTCATCAGCGTGAGAGCTTCATGGCCACATGACGCCTGGCACCTAATGGGTCTTAAATAATTATGGCCGAGGATGGGGTATATGCGTGAGCCAGGACCCAGGAAGACACATCCCCCCAACCCTTTGCTTTGCAGCAAGGACTTTCTGCTGGGAATATGCTCATTCGCATGGGCCTTTGCAACAGGCTTGGACCGCCTATTAAAAAAAAAAAAAAAAGCCGTTAGAGGCAGCCATGGAGGCCTCAGCCAGGCCTGTAACAGCACAGCCAGTTCTGAGACAGACAGAGATTCCAGGAACTGGGCGCAGATGGGATGCCTGTGTGGGACGGCAAACAGGCTGAGGCCAGCGGTCTCATGTTCAATATCCAGGTTGTTGCCCAGTCCTCACCTGAGGCCTGAGTAGAGTGCTGGGGTGCAGCCAGCAGCCCTGGCAAGATTCCCTCCTCCCCAACTCACTGCATGCCCCGATGCATGAGGGGGTGGGGTCTGCACCGTCCACAGCTCCAGGCCAGGCTGATTCCAGCAGTTTCCCCCTTGCCCACCCATCACCCCTGCTTCTGCACTGTCTTGGCCCATGACCCCCTCCCTTCCCATCAATCAACCCCCACCCCGCTCTGAGCAGTGCTCTCCAGGCCCCTTGCCCAGAGTCTTCACCCAGGAGGCCAGGGGTCAGTGCCCCCGCCCGTTCCCTGCCGCAGGCCCTGGTTGAGGTAGCCAGCCCCGACCCACCGGGATGAGACCTGGCCGCAGGCAGAACTGGCGGTCCGAGCAGGCCACGCAGGCCATGGGAAGATCCATCCACGGCTGCCCTGGTCCTGCAGCCAGGAGGCCCCCTCCGTGAGAGCCCAGCTGCCTGGCACAGCCGCGGGGAGAGTTTTTTCGAGATGAGACAGGCCCTTGGGGTTCAGGGGACAAGGGAGCACTAATCCCCGTGTCCGCCCATCCCGGGAACACTTGCTCTGTTGGCGAGGAGCACGGGGAAGCCTCCTGCCCACCACCCCCCACCCCAGGCGCTCCATCTGCACCGTGGCAAATGGCTGTGCCCGGGGAAGGCCTGGAGAATCCAGTCCTGGGTCCGGTCGCCTCCCGAAATGTGAGTAGGTGACGGGGGACAGTTCAGGCAGGGCGCCTGGCCATCCCTTCCTAACACTGTGCAGACAACCTCCTCCAGTCCAGGCTGAGAGGGCCAACCCCACCTTCTCTGCAGTCCAGGGAGGCTCCCCACAATGAAACTCTAAGTTTGATGACTCCCAACCTTTTCACTTTAGAACATAATTCTTCAGACACGCTCTCACACAAGGGCCCCGAAATGCACAAAACGGATCAAAGTGGCCCGGGGGACCAGGGTCACACAGAGCCCAGGTGGGTGCTGGGGGCCAGGCTCCTGCCAACCTCCTTGGGTGAGTGGCCGAGTCTCTCTGAGCCTCGGCTTCCCTGCCTAAGAAATGGGCTGACATCTCCCTCCTGCTGTCCTGGGCCACACTCACATCCCCTTTCCTGCCGTCTTTCGCGCTTGACTGTGTCCTTGGACCCGCTGAGCACAGGTTCATCATCTGTCAAGTGGAGAGCCTCAGACACCAGCCACCTCTTTCACTGATGCTGTGCTATTCAGATCCAGGATGGTGGGTGCTCTCCGTGTAGGCTGCATGGAGAGAAGGGGCAGGGTTGTGGGTGAAGGAGTGGGCTTGCGAGGTGTCCCCACAGACCCCTTGAGAGCCAGACTCTTAGTATTGGCACATCTGCTTACTCCCCCAGTTCTTCCCTGAGTCTGTGAGGAAGTTCAACCCTAGGAGGAGGTCAGTCTCACACACTCAAGGCCGGAATGTTGACGGGGGCCTCTCTGACCTCAAGCTCTTTTTCTCCATCAGTAACACAAGGAGGACGCCAACCTGTCTGATCCCAGGATCTATCACTTGGCAATTTCCCTGACTGACTGCTACCCTTCACTCTGAAAAACAGGGCTGTTGAGATAACAGGACCAACGGGAGCAGGCAGGAAGACACAGGCCTCTCCTTAGCGGGACACAGTGGGCAACATTCTGGGCCCTGGCCAGGGGTCCACAGGCTCCTTGGGCACCACATGCTGCTCTCGGGCCGTGGGTGCCCCTTGCACGATGGGAATCCCTGGTCCCCAGGAGGTGCCAGGGGGAGGGGCTGGAGAGTGGAAAGCTGGGGCCTCAGCCAGGTTGGCCTCATCACACCCATTCCTGCCCCCGCCTGCTCTGCCCATCTTGACACGACTGAGCACCCGTGTCACTAAAGCACTAATATCTACAGTCGTTTATAAAGCGGATGGTCCGCACTTGCCATCCCCGGTCCTCCGGGGCATCAGAACTGCCTGGGCAGTTTGTCCCAGAGAGCAAGGCAGGGCCCCTCTCGCCTCTCCCTAACTCAGGACGTCTGGGGCTGGATCAGGAGAACTGCACTTTCTTTTTCAAACTTTCCAGGTGTGATTTTCTTCTACAGCAGTGGTGCCCAAACTTTTTGGCATCAGAGACTGGTTTCGTAGGAGACAATTTTTCCATGAGTGGTGGTCGAGGGGGCTGGATGGTTCAGGCAGTAATTTGAGTGATGGGGAGCGATGGGGGGGCCACAAAGGAGACGTGGTTAGATCGACCCACCCCTCACCTCCTCCTGCGCTGCCCAGTTCCTATCAGGCTGGGGACTGGTACCAGTCAGCAACCCGGAGCGGGGGACCCCTGTCCTTTAGCCAATGAGAAGGATCCACACTAGGCTCCACATCCAGCAGGGATCCCACAGGCGTTAGAGTCAGAGGGCAAGCCACACAAGCTTCCTCACTGGGGGACTAGGTAAGTCACCTCTCTGAGCCTTGATCCCTCTATTTAAAAGCCGGCCTCAGCATCACCTTCTCTGCAATGGATCCATTCTGTCTTCCTCCCTCCATCCCCATCACCTCCGGAGAAGGCAATGGCAACCCACTCCAGTACTCTCGCCTGGAAAATCCCAGGGACGGGGGAGCCTGGTGGGCTGCCGTCTATGGGTTCGCACAGAGTCGGACATGACTGAAGCGACTTAGCAGTAGCAGCCCCATCACCTCCAGCTCACACCCTGTCTACACAGATGCATCTGCTGGCTCATTTAATTTTCACTGCTACCAGAGCAGATACACCGCATCATTAGGCCCACTTTCTTAATCAGTAAACTGAGCCTTATCGAGTGGAAAACCTGGAGGGTTGCAACTCTGCTCCCCAGACTCTGATGCTGGGCAGGTCTAGACCATGCTACCCGCTTGAAGGAAGCTTCCTGGACCTCATCCCCCCACCCTCCTCCCTCCCCTCTCTTCCACCCACGAACAGTTGTTCAAGGTCCTGTGTGTGCCAGGCATTGTCCTTGGTGCCACGGGTGTGGAGACAAATCGGACACGGCCTGCCAGGGAAGACAGATGCTGAAGCAAATGGTTGCAGGACAGGGTGGCACGAGTCAGAACAGAAGTGGACTCAGGATACGATTCAGATGATGGGAGGGTGAGGGCACAGCTCTGGAGGGGGCGGGGGGACGGGAAAGGCCACGGGAAAGACACAAAGGTTCAGGTGTGGGAAGCAGGGGCTGCTAGAAGCCCGAAGGACCATGCCTAAGCGTCCGACCTGATCTTTGCTCATCTCAGTTTGTTGAAACCCATAACCTCATGACTCCGCGGCCCCGCATCTGTTTATGCGCTCATTGGAATCCGAGCTGACAATATATTTGTTTAATTTCCAGCAAGAGGGGGAAGATTTGTCAGGGTCAGGGATACGTCTTGCATAAAACATTTTGATTAAACTCTGTTGGCCAGAGAATTACTTTCCCCATCATACTCCGAGAAGGCTGGTTGTTTCCTAATTGGAGTCCCTGCCTCGCCAGCGCGTTCACCATTTACCGTTCGTTTCCTGCCAGATGTGGCTGGATGTAAATTCCTCCCCCGCAAAAAGACCAGGGGTGTCTTGGGAGAGGTGTTAACCGGCGCGGGCCTCGGGAGACGGCCGTGCAAGCACTTCGCTGGAAGAGAGCCGGCATCCTACGGGGCAGCTGGGGATGGGACGTCCTTGTCTACAGTGGCCGGCAGGGAGTAATTAAAAGCATGGGGACTGGCAGAGTGTCTCAGCACCATCAACCTTCTGATGGGTGTGGAGGCCCCCACTTGGAGCCGGCAACGGCGAGTCTGCCCTTGGAATCCAAGATACTGGGGCCCCTGTGCCGGGTTGCTGAGAGCTGAGGCCATCCTTGGCCTTGAAGGAGGGGCCGTCCTAGGAGCGAGCATGTGGGAGGCCTCACTTGGTCTTGGATGGGACAGAGAAATCTCTGGGCAGGCGCAGGAAGGAGCTGTGTGCCTCCCAAGAGGGTTTCAGGTGAGATCAGAATGGAGGCAGGGGACACAAAATTAAAAGAAGGGAGACCAGGGAAGCTACTTTCTACTTCACACCTACTGTGTGCCAGCCCTTCACACACTCCATGTCCTTTAAGCCTCACCATGATCCTGCTAAGCAGAGAGGTTGCTAGGCCCATTTTCCAGATGTGGACGTTGAGGCTCCAAGAAGTAAAGTAGTTTCTCTGGAGTCACTTGGCCATAAAGTAGATATGCAGGGATCTGGGCCCAGAACCCAGGTTGTATGCACAGAGCCTGACCCGAGGCGGACAGTCAAAACCGCAGGCAAGTTGGGAATGGGGCCCTCACCAGATGACCCTCTGTGTGTGTTCCGTGCGGGCCTGCCCGCGCATGGGACTGCAGAGGTAGGCTGAGCTCACTCCTCATCAGTACACAAGAGGCGCAGGCCCCTCCGGAGTTCCTGTCCGTGTTCACGCAGGCATTGCTAATCAATCACAGCGTTCTCCCTGTCTGAATTCCAGCACTGTCTCAGTATCCCCCTGAACGCAGGCCTCCAGGTCGCCGGCATCGACAGTCAGGGCTGGCCGATGGTATGGACCAATTTTCCAACCCAAGCTAGTTTTTTTAAGTTCCCAGGATCTGGGGCCAAAGGGTCGAAAAAGGTAACCACTGGCCACACTGAGCTACCTAGTACTTAGAATGCACACAGTAACTTAAGAAGATGTGTTCTAAGTATGAAGAAGACACTAGATTTCAAAGGTGAAAAGTGTTAGTCACTCAATCCTGTCTGACTCTTTGTGACTCCAGGGACTGTAGCCCGCCAGGCTGCTCTGTCCATGGGATTCTCCAGGCAAGAATACTGGAGTGGAGGAGCCATTCCCTCCTCCAGGGGATCTTCCCAGCCCAGAAATCAAGCTCGGGTCTTCTGCACTGCAGGCAGATTGTTAACCATCTGAGCCCCCAGGAAAACCCAAAAATGTAGCAGAGGGAAAAAAAAAGTGTGAAATATCTCATTATTAAGTTTTATGTTGACTACATGTCGGGATGGTAATATTTTGGAAGTGCTGAGTTAAAGAAAATATATTAGTAAAATTAAGTTCACCCTTGTTTTTTCCTTTTAAAGTCTGCAGGCCAGTTCTTTCTGTTGGACAGCGCTGGTCCAAGGCTTCTGCGGCTGTGAAGAGCGCCCCTGGTGGCTGGGATGAGGAAGTTCGCCCCACCGAGGACCTGTCTTACTAGTTGTGACCTGGGCAAGTTACTCAATGGCTGCACCTGTTTCCTTATCTGTGAAATGGAGATAATAACATTATTATCTCATAAAAGTGAGATTGAGAAGTAGATGAATTAATACATGTAAGATATACAAACCGGCCCACACAGAAATTTAAGTGATAAGGGAGGATTGGCTTTTTAACATCTAGTTGACTGGGAAGTGGAGCCCTGACCCCTTTTGTCTGCTGGGCCTCCTCATTTTGGCCCCATGCCAGAGTGGCCTCCACTCTTTGCAGACAGATCCAGCTAGCCCCCAGC